CGTAAATTGACACTCCCAGAATTCCCTGCATGACGCTTCATATTTGTGTTTTTTTTGTTGAAATAACATGTTTTTTCTTTGTTGTTTCTTATCAGTTGTGTACATTAGGGTTTTTCTTATCTTATCATCTAATGTTGTTAAATGAATGTTTATTGCATTATTTCAGAATCATGTGTGTCACCATGATGGGGTTTAGTGTTTGTGTGAATGACACTGTGCACCTTCTATATAAAAGTATTGCCCTCCTCAGCTCGTAGAAAAGCTGTTTGTGATGAGCTTTGGTTCATCATGTGACTTTCTCATCACCAGCAGTTTTTGGTGGTTATCAGTGCATTACAATGGTTCAAAACAGATATTAACACTTCAATATGTTGGTTTATTAACATTACATCAGTTAATGAAATACGGTATTTTATTGTGAATTTAAGTTAAGTCTGTAAAACCTAAAATGTTGCTACCATATTTTTTACGGTGAAGTTCTGGCAACCACAGCTGCCGGTATTTTACCGTAAATGTCACAGATTTTTTTTCAGTGTGGGATACTGATGTTTTCCTCACTTGAATATGTAACAGGAAGCTTTAGGTCCCTGTCTCTTGTAATAAACTGCGATGCCGTCGTCTCCTCCGTGTTCGTGCCTCATTCGCTCCACATCCAGCCTCCAGCCCTGAGTGTTGAACTGATAGACGGCAGAACATTCCACCTCACGCTGAACATGGGGGGACACCAACCTCTCCACCTTCTCCTCCACCACACGTTCACACCAGTGCCTGAATCAAAGAAGAGTTCATCAGTGACCAATGAGATTATAATGAATTTTACAGTTCCTGTGCTAAAGTTACTTAGTATTAGGGGTTTGTTTAAATCACTAACCCTAAGATTAACTAAGCGAACAAACAAATGGTACAATTTAAAAATGTGAAATCATTTGTATTTTTTAATGTTAGGCTGTAGTAAAACATCTCACCCCATGACCACGACCAGATTAAACCCCAGCAGAGACACGAGCATAAACTTCATTGTGTCTCTGAAGAGCTGACGTTCTTCACCATCAAGTCAAGAAACTGCAATTAAAGAATTAATTAAATTATCTGAGGACGAAATGAAAATATTTATTTATATCTAAACGATACAGTAAACTTAATATATACTAAAACCAGTAAGAAATATGGACACATGATAGAATTTGTTTCTCATATGCTTAAGCTTGTTTATAAGCTTGAAATTAGTTTAAAAGACCATTTTAAGTGTGCCTAAACACCAGTGCTGGGTAAGTTACTCTAAAAAAGTAATTGATTATTAGTTACTAATTACATCTTCAACAGTGTAATTAGATTACTGTACAAATTACTCTCTCCAAAAAGTATTTAATTACGTATTACTAATTACTTTCTAAATCCTATATCAAACTCGACAAGTTAATGATACAAGGATAGACATGAAACAGTTCTTTTAATTCTTTCAAATAAATAATAGATAACTACATAAATGATTCTGGTCACACTTTAGATTAGGGTCCAATTCTCACTATTAACTAACTATTAACTTTTGCCTCAATATATTCCTAATTACTGCTTATTAATACTTAGTAAAGTAGTTAAGTTTAAGAATTGGGTAGGATTAAGGATTTAGAATAAGGTCTTGCAGAATAAGACATTGATATATGTTTTTTAAGTAATAATAAACAGTCAATATCCCAGTAATATTCATGCTAATAACCAACTAGTTAATACTGAAAACTGGACACTAAAGTGTTACCAATATTCTTATTAACTCACCAAAGTATTTAAAGTGAGAAGGGTATACCATAAAAAGCATGCATTTTATGGTTAGACTTTAAATTTTTATGTTAAATCCACTATTGTTTATAAATGTTCTACAGTCTATATACAGAAGTAAGTTGTTACATAAGAAGTAACTGTAATTAAATTACAGAAAAAATAAGAGTAATCCCTTACTTTACTTTTTAATTAAATTACCGTAACTAATTACTTAGTAACTAATTACACTCAACACTGCTACACAGTATGTTTTTACATCAAGTTGTGAAGCTGAGAAGATCAAAATCACAAAATCATTCCTATATTTCCAAATTGTTTGTTTGAATTTTTGAATGGCAATTTATATATTATTGCTGCAATATGTATTAAATTGTAAGACACTGATAACACTTTCCATTTAACATAAAATCTAAAAAAAAAAAAAAAATTGAGGCAGACCAGTTGAACATGAAATATAGTAATTATTTACATAAGCAGGAGTGAAGTGAGTTTTTACCTAAGTCGTCAGAGTTTACCAGGAGCTCTTGAGCACAAAACGTCTGAAATGGATTCCTTTGTCTTTATTTATTCCTGTATTGCTCTTTATGCTCTTTTTGTTATTCCATATCCATAAAGCAGTAGATATGTCTCCGTATTCACTATTTTCCACAGGTGTTGGTGGTTATTTGGTCGGGGTGTGTGTTGGTTGGCAGGTTTTAAATGGTGAGTATGGACAGGCCCATGGCAGCAGGTGTAAGGCGTGTCATTGGTGGAAAGTCCGGTGGGTCACAGCTGTAGATGCATGCATTAGCTCGTCGTTTGGTGACGCCAATGTATAGTAGTGCTCCGTCCCAACCGAGGAAGGGGGTAGTGAAGTTAGCAGTAGATCCCTCTGATGGAGGGCTGTTTGTGCAAGTCTAATCCTATAAAGACTCACTTTGGTGGAAGGATTTCAGGGGCGTTTATTTAATAAAGTAAGGGACCAGGGGGCATGTAAATGCAACTAACATCACTGGCCCAGAGCTTCAAAAGAGATTTGGGGGTGTCCAGACACAAACACAGCTGCCACCATCCAACATTTCCTACGTTGGAGAATATACCTTTTTAGGATGCTCTTTAATGTTAGAAAATTGTGCATTCAGTGAAGAAGAAGAAGAGTGTAAGGAGCAGTGTATGTCTTTCCATCCAAGATCAATGCAGTACTGTGTTTGGACGTGTGACCTCTGACCTTTACAGGAGGTTTTCCATGTTAAAATACTTCCTCCAATCGCAGTAGAGTCACTGTTAGTCGGTAAGAGTGCAAACAAGAGAGGTTCAAACATTGAACCATTTGTTTGAGCAACATTAGGTTTGCATTTCATTTGTTAACACTAGTGGTACAGAAGTTAAAGTCTTATGATTCCATCCAGTTTTTCCATCCAATATCTGTACAATATTGAGCTTGAATGAGTGAATGAGGTTTGTGTTTCTTTAAAACCTACCAACCAACACATAACCGGACGTAAGAACTATACAAAAGTCTATGGGAAAGAATGAAAACTGAGACATATCTACTGCGTTATGGATTTCAAATAATGAAATGAGCATAAAGAGCAATACAGGAATAAATAAAGGTGAAGGAATAAGTTTGTGAAGATCTTAAAACAGCATTTTGTTCTCAAGAGCCAAGGGCGTAGAACGCCGTGTCCCTACCAATATCCAGTCACTACTAAATTGTCTCTAGCAATACATTTTAATCAAACAATTAAATATATGTATATGTAACCACTGTGGTTGTAATTTCGGCCGCATCTGAAGTATACCACTGATATTACCATATATAACCGCTCACTGTTCAACATTCACATCAATGGTATGAGATGACTGGATTTTGTTTTGTTTGTAAACATCATGCTTTTTCACTTAATGTCATAAAACTAGTGAGATAAGCCAGTAGTAGTACTGACAGTGTCGTGTAAACATGGCTGGAACAGCTCCAACTGATTAAATCTCAAACTCAACTGATTAACAAATAATTTGTAATGATTTTAAAAAGCACGTAGTGTTGGATAAAACAGCTTTTCGAAACTCAAAATCAGTTAAACCATTGTGTCGCATAATGATTCACTGTTTTGATGAATCTTTTGATTCAGATTGGGACTTCAAAACGCAGATCGTGAATCATTTAATTTAGATCGGGACTGCGGAGCGCGAATCGCTTGAATGAGGATCCTCTGTTCTTTAGGGAAAATTTGTCTTTTCTCCATATTACAATAGGCTACTTCCTCCAAATCCAGATTAACATGTAGAGTAAGTCGATTTGACTTCCTACAGAGTGTAAACAAGAGAGTTTCAAACATCGATCCATTTGTTTGAGCGGCGAGATATAGCAACATTAGCTTATTAATCCATCCAATTTTCATAGAATCCATACAATATTGTGCTTGAACAAGTGACCTCTGACCTTTAGGGGAGGTTTGACTCTTTTGCATGTCAAAGACTTCCTCTAATCCCAGTTTGACATGTAGAGTCACTATAGGTTAGTTGGTTTGACTTCCTAAAGGGTGTAAACAAGAGCAATTCAAACACTGATCCATTTGTTTGAGATTAGGTTTGCATTTCCATTTTTTAACACTAGTGGAAAGTTAAAAACTTACTCCGTCATTGGCTTAAATAAGGAATCTTACCTTCCAGAACAGCCTCTGTTTTGGGAGTCGGCATATTTTACCTTACTATACTGTCTTCTTATTAGACAAATGATTATGTTTTGTATGAGAAAGAGATGTGGATGGCACAGATGCACAATAACTAAAGCAAACGGCACATGCAGTCTCTAGTTTGAGAAATAGACATAAAATGTCTGTCAAACATCAGTTTGATCTGCAGAAGGGTGAAGGATCTGAAACTGGCAAATTAGAAGAAAAGGCTAAAATGGTTAATGCATTGAATGCATTCTTCATTAATCATGAGAAAAAAATATTATTGAAAGCATGAGATGAAATCTTACCTGAATATCTCAATAAAATGATGGATGAGTATCTCTGGTTTATCATAGCTGGCATTACTGCAAAGGATTGTTCTTATAGACGGAAAAGTAGCATTTATATTCAACAGAACTAGACAATTGTAACATTATACAACCTTGGAGAGTAAAAGTATCAGTTTGTTTCCAAAACAAGCATTTCATTTTAATTTTGTTTGACATGGACTGTGTATTGCTACATTTACAAGCCTCTGCATTAGTTTGTTCCTGGGATTAAAAAATCATAAACTTTTATTGTGTTTCAACCATGATGCTTGGGGGGGAAAAAATATATATTTTTGAATAATGAATCAGAGTTTGAAATAAATAAACTACAGTATTTGGATAGAGATTTGGACAGCATAAGTCGAGGTTTATTTGTCTCACTTGCCCTTCTTTTGAGCTTTTTATCAATAGGCTATTTGAGCGTTGTTCTTTCCAGCTAAACATCTGCATCACAAAAATGTATACAGCCAAGGCATATGTGTTAATATTTGTAAAGCCAGAAACCTGATTATAATTATTATATCTGAAGTAAAACTGTTGCAGTTTAAACATAACACAGATATGGTCTCATAAAACTGAGGGCCAGCAGAAAATAACTTATAAACTTAAGACAGTAATATAAATACTGCACATATAACAGATTACTACTTTCAGATGGTGATTTAAGTGCTTGTCATTAAGCTCTCTGCAAGCTAGGGTTATGAAAGACTCAAGCTAATAATTAACCATAAGAGTCTCACATTAGGTGGGTAATGATGGCCTGGTTCATATCAGGTGGTTTTGACCGATCATATTTCTGTGTTGGAAACTAACAGCCACTACAGTGCAATAACAGCTTCAGCTGTCTGTCCAATTCCCAGTCCCACATTGCTCACACTGTAATTCACTTCAGCTGTCAGATTTGTGTTTCACCCCGTTGAAAAAAAATGCATATGAGCTGTATTGATATAACTGAATTACATGTGTTATTATGTTTCATCATAACTCCACATTACATTAATTTCCTTGCTGTATTGCTTTATAGACATTGGTACATTTTAACTGGACTTACCTTTGAAATTTAATATGTCTAGCTTCATCAGTTGAATATCTATGGGTTATCCACTGAATTTTATCCTGTTAACATTTAGTTTGTAAGTGCCTTACCTGAAAGTGTGAAGACTGCACCTAAACTCGGGAAGCAATAACATGCAATAACCGTGTATGGAAACATTCAACATGCACCCGTTGTTAACTGCTAGTAATTTGACTATACCACATTCAAATTACAGATGTTGTTATTGGCATCTTTTCATGCCATAGTTGTTTTACATTATCTTTTCATTTTGCATTATTATATGGTGTACATTTACATTGCATTATTTATCTAACTGTATATAATTCTGTATATTTCATTGTTTCCCCATGTTGCATATTCCACATATTCCATAGTGCATAATGCATTTTCTAATGCAGAAAGGGTAAATTCCACATGAATATATTGCAATGATATAGTGCACCATATGTCATGACCAGTTGCAATATGTGTGCCCAAAACTATATTACTAAAGGTGTATTGTTTTGTTAAAATATTGATATAATTGAGGAAAATATGAGGTAAAAGAGACCAGAAAAAGGTGGGGTGCTGAAGACGAGATAATATTAATGTGGAATGGACAAAAAGAAAAACGTACAAACCTTCTCATTTTTCTTCCTGATATCTGCAAATTGACCAAAATGCAATATATGTGTTTCATATAAACAGTGCAAACACCTGTCGGCATGCAGCTGTGTGGAATTAATTCTCAATTTTACACTGAAACAGATTGTGATAGTCTGATACCCTGTGAAATGTCCACAAATGTGCATTGATAATGCAAGCAAATCCATCAATCATCTCTTGCTTTGTTCTTCTGAAGTTTTATGACCTTCAGCTGGCCAATCACCTTCTGTTCAAGAGAGGTGGGTGGTTGATAAAAGCAGAAACATCAGAGCTGTACGATTCAGAAGAGGACTGCATCCACTGGCTGATCCAAAAAACACATTGCAGCTGTAGCAGCCACACTTTTGGAGTGAATTTATCCAGCCTGCACACTTTGAAACAGTCACTGAAGGTAAGCTCGTTCATTGATTTTTAATATCTGCCGCTTTCATTAGGCGCTCATTTTTATTCTAATTACAAGGTGAGTCACTGGACCTTTATGCAAAGGAGGGTTACATAATAGTGCAATTGAATCGACACTGCTGCAGAAAATGTTAGAAATAGATTGTGCCAAATGCAGAAAGAACACAGTGACATTTTGTGTAGCAAAGAAGACCCTGAAAAACATAATAGCTTTTGGGTGGCAGAAAAACAACATCAGCTTAAGAATTGCCCATTACAGCTGAAGGAAGATTGCTAACAGCCCTCACTGGGGTAATTAAATACAACATATTGGTTCATCTGTTTCTCATCCAAGTCCAGGAAGCTGTGAGGAAGAGAGAGGTGTTGGCTCACACCGTACTTGTATCTTTATTACTGTAATTTGGTTCAGATTTTCTGTGCAAAGAACACACTGATTCCAAGGGGGAGGCGCTCTAGAAATGATAACCTATGCTTACAAGAGCAGCTTAAAATAGATAGGAAAGTTTGAAAGACTTTACGTTGGCGTTACTAAGTCTGAGAATTGACAATAGGTTGAAGTTAAGGACAGACAGACAGATAGACAGACAGATAGACAGATAGACAGAATTTGGCATATGGGATTTTTTTTTTTGGGGAGCTTGATGGGGACCAACACACAAGTTTGTTAAAATTAGTATAATAAACCTGAAAACTAAAGTGATGTGACATGGCTTGTTTATTTTGCAGGAGCCAAGATGTGGTTCTCCTGGATGCTGCTCCTGGCTTCTCTAGCTACGTCCACCGCTTCGTCAAGAAGTCGAGAGTGGGCTATTCACGGAGCTGCAATGTTTGCTGATCTCACTCCCCAAGAGATGAACGCCGTGAGAGACTACCTCTACTCCTGCAGCGAGCTGGGTCTCACCTCGGCACGAGACAAGTCCCTCAAGAAGAACAGCATCCTCCTTATGGAGCTGCACGTTCCTCGCAAGCACGAGGCGCTCCGTGCGCTGGACAGAGGACAGGCGAGACCTTCTCGGCAGGCACGTGTGGTGGTGCAGTTCGGCAACCAGGCGGAGCCAAATGTTACGGAGTACATCGTCGGACCCCTACCTTTCCCGAGGTCTTACCAGGTGAAGACATTTAAGGGCGACCGTCCAATCCGTTTCGAGTCCAGGCCGATCTCCACTGTGGAGTACGAGCATCTCAATGGGGTTCTGGAGAAAGTAGGAGCTAAAGCAAACAAGATTCTGCAAGAGAGCGCTGGGTTTACTTATGGCAACTGCACTAATCGTTGCTTGACCTTCTCAGACATCGCTCCTCGTGGGTTGGCACCAGGAGAGAGGAGGACGTGGATCATGTTGCAGAAGTTTGTGGAGGGCTATTTCATCCACCCGGTGGGCTTCGAGGTCCTCGTTAACCACAAAGATTTAGATCATGAAAAGTGGACGGTGGAGAAGGTGTGGTACAATGGGCAGTATTTCGACAGCGTGGAGGAGCTTGTGGAGAAGTACGAGAAGGGGATGATCGATAAACTCAAGCTGCAGGAGCATGACGAGGAGGATCTTTTTTCAACCTTCATTCCTCGTGGACACATGAATACACCGACGAACATTCATGGTGCAAAGCTTGTCGAACCCCAAGGCCGGAGATTCCAGGTGGATGGGAACTTTGTGGAATATGCCGGATGGTCCTTTGCATATCGGGTTCGCTCTTCGGCCGGGTTGCAGATCTTTGACCTTCGCTTCAACGGGGAGAGAATTGCTTATGAAATCGCACTGCAGGAGGCCATTGCCTTCTACTCCGGAGATTCTCCGGCTGCCATGCAGACCAAATACATTGATGCCGGATGGGCGATGGGCACTTCGGATTATGAGTTGGCACCTGGGATCGACTGTCCAGAAATTGCTCATTTTGTGGACCTTTATCATTACTATGACACAGACAAACCTGTGCGTTACAGAAACGCACTTTGCATTTTTGAAATGACCACAGCGCTTCCTCTGAGGAGACACTTCAATAGCAACTTCCAAGGAGGCTACAATTTCTATGGAGGCTTGGAAAACCATGTTCTGGTGATCAGAACTACATCTACGGTGTACAACTATGACTACATCTGGGACTTTGTCTTCTACCAGAATGGCGTAATGGAGTCTAGAGTGAGTGTGACTGGGTACATCCATGCAACGTTCTTCACGGAAAATGGACTGAACTATGGAACCAGGGTTTACAACTATGTTCTTGGCAACTTGCACACCCATCTAATTCATTACAAAGTGGACCTTGACATTGCAGGTGAGTTTAGCTCTTGCTTTGTTATCAGTGTACAATCTGAAGTCAAATAACAATCTATTTTGTGATCTCTGTGCACAAATTACAACACCATAGGTGGCAAATATAAGCCAACTGCATAACATGTTTCACTGAATAGAGATAATTCTGCTCTTTTTTTTGTACAGGGAGGGACAACAGCTTTGAAACCATTGATCTGAAATATGTTAACTTTACCAACCCCTGCAGCCCAGGACACTCCATTGTGGAGCCCAGGACACTCCATTGTGCAATCAAAACTGCATAGGACGCAGCATGAAACTGAACGTAGTGCTGCCTTCCGATTTGGCAAGAAGTTTCCCAAATACTTGCACTTCTACAATCCCAAACAAAACAACAAGTGGGGACATAAGAAGGGCTATCGGATCCAGTATAACTCGCATGCTAACAGCGTTTTGCCCCGGGGCTGGAGGGAGGAAAATGGTATTACGTGGTCAAGGTGGGCCTCAGCAATTAATTTAAAAGGAATAACACATTTTTCTCTTTTACACACTATTTTTGAGCAAATCTTTGTGATTTTGTTGATTGCAGATACCCGTTGGCTGCAACCAGACACAAGGACAATGAGGCCACCAGCTCTAGCATCTACACTCAGCATGACCCTTGGGAGCCTGTTGTTTCCTTTGAGGAATTCATTCGCAACAATGAAAACATAGTTAACCAGGTACACAGATGACTCATAGAGACTTGAGTTTGACCGCCAATTCCAAATGGACCACATGCAGTTCAAACGGGTCCTCATGGGCACTAAAAAGTAGACACAAAACCAACACAATCAGCATTTACACAGGTGTATGAATAAAATTTGATGACAAAAAAGCTATTACCAACTATTCAAAATAGTTGAACACCAATTACTGTATTTAAATAGTAAATATACACAATTTACTTGCCAGATTATCAAATAATTAATCAGTTTAACTAATCAGCAGTAACTCAAAATGTTGTAAACGAATATAAACAGAATAACAGATTAAGATAAATGGAAACATCAATCAAACTAATTCTACTTAAATCAATGTCAATAAAACAAAAAAAAGTGTTATTTAAATGATTTAAGTGTGGTTTTATTATCAATATACTAGTATAGTTTTTATTATTTAGAATTAGTTTAAATTTTTAGACTTTCCCTTTTTTTTTTCAAGTTTTAGTAATTTAGTAATTTGTGTGTGTTTTAAATATGTCTAGTTTTTATTAATTTTATTGGACATTTTAGTAATTCAGCTTACATTTTAATTTAAGTTTTATTTTATTTATTTTATTTCAGTTAATGTTTATTTTATTTCAATGAACAAAATGTTTTTAATAGTGTTTTAATTGACAATAATACCCCTAACTGGCAGTAGGTAAACAACTAGACAAAAATATATAAAAATCTAAAAATACACAATTGACTCAATTATATGTTTCTTGGCAGGATTTGGTTGCCTGGGTGACGGTGGGATTCTTACACATTCCTCATTCTGAAGACATTCCCAACACAGCGACTCCAGGAAACGCAGTGGGATTCTTTCTGCGTCCCTTCAACTTTTTCGACGAGGACCCCTCGCTCGCGTCCCGCAGCACGGTCATCGTGCGACCAGATGAGAAGGGCCAGCCGAAGGTTCAGAGATGGACTCCAGAGGTCGTAGGTCACTGTGTCTCAGACAAGCCTTTCTTCTACAATGGTACATATGCTGGCGTCTAGACAGAGACTGAGCTCATTTCATTTTGTGTTAGTGTGTTTGTGCTGTATATTAAATTATAAAAAGCTGAAATCTGTGAAATAAAATGCTGATGGTGTCAAATATTTACAATCATAAAAAATCGAGTGTACCGTATTACAGGGAGCTGAACAAATAAACCTCGAATGCTTTAAATTTGGAACTAAAAAACCTCACAAGCTTCTGCCATTTTTCACAACCTAAACATGGTAAAGATCACTATGACAATGTTTTATATGTCTTTCTGAATACAAATATATTTTGCATAAAAATGCAGGATTTTAAGGATATTTACTGTACATTTACATTGTTATATTATTTTCATGACAGTTAAGCAGAAATTCTCTCTTTTTTTAATGAGCATAAATTAAATTCTGTAAACAAATATGTCCATATGATGCATACTTACAATTGTATTTTACAATTATATATATATATATATATATATATATATATATATATATATATACATATTTCAAAAAAATAGAGAAC